TTGTAAAGCTAGATAAAAGCAAGACCACCCAACATTGTTCACCCTGTTACCCACCCACTTTAACAATGGTATATTCCAATTGGGGGGTTTATGTCCTGGGTGGTTTATGTCCTACATTCCATAGGCTAGCCTAGGCGATCCTTAGGTCTACCCTACCTAGGCACTAAGGCTAGGCTAATGATGGTGGCCCCAGTTGGGGTTTAGGCAGCTATTTTAGCATAGCCAGATACGAGATGATTCACCTGGCTGATAGACATAATACTGAGAGGCTAGACTGAAATTGTGGAGGTCACTTTGTCTCAGTCGCAAACCCTATTATTGGCTAACAAACATGTAAAAACTGGCCTACTATTATTTTCTTGTATAGGGTATAGTTATGTGAAATATATGCCTTTGCTAGACAAGGCCTGTTCCCCACGTGACACCACACTGCTAATACAGAACTCTACAAGAGTAGGTCTATGTATTTATGAATTATAATAATTATTATGACACAGATGCGTAAAACTTTTTTTTAATTAATTTAATTTGCATTCCCAAATTTTGTTTCAATATTACAGATGAAAAAGAGACAGATGAGACATCAATGAGACAATCTAATAGTTTTTATAGAAAAAAGAGGAAACATCAGTCAGCCAGCTCGATACAGTTCTTACAGATGAAAAACAGAAAGAGGAGGCATCAATGCATCATGAGTGGATTTCCCGCACGATTAGAAATCGTAACGGTACTGGGTTTGGTCTACATGCGTTCGTGCTTCGAACAGGTCATTCCATTCATAACACTTTGTCCATAAAAATGATTTTTCTGTAAATGGAATGACCTGCTGGAAGCACGAACAGTTGTAGACCAAACCTAGTACCGTTACAATTTTAAATCGTGCCGGAAATTCACTCCCGATATTGATGATCATTAATTAAATATGAAAGTTATTTAAGTTCAATTTTTAAAATATAATTTATAAACAGGAATACATATCAATCTATAGGTTTAATTGCATATATACATTTTTACCTGTAATTTCAGAAAAGTTAACTGTTGGGAAATTATTGTTTACAGTAACTGAATTACTGATTTAACATAAATAATAGCATGAGGTTTACTAAAAAAAAAAAAAAAATGTATAAAAAAAAAATTGTATAAAAATAATTGTATACAGTATTTGAAGGTTCTATAAAATTTTACAAAAAAATAGGTTGATACTAGTGTATTTAAAGGTTCTACGAAAGTTTATTTTTAATGTGTGATAAATGCTTATTGTTAATAAAAAATAAATGTAAATTGCCAAAAACAAATGAAATAAACAAAAAAATATGGTAATTAAATTAATCAAATTAATAATAGGTTCAATTAATTTTTTTTAATAGAGACTTTAAATATTTGATATGTTTATACAGTCATTGTAATAACTTTATAATTTTGCAATTGACTTAAAATTCATTTCAGCTGTTGAATATTGATAGTGAGCAAAATAAGTCGTTTACAATAATGTTGTAATTTGGCATTGAATTTTAAAATTGTTCTTGTAACACTGAAACTTCAGCTGTTTTTTTAAAAATTAAATATATTATATTTAAGCTAATTCATTTGTCTTTTTAAAATTATGATGTCCACCTAAGAGCTACAAACAATATTATCAAAATGTCATGGCAAAATGACTTATCTTTGAGATAAGGGATGGTGCCAATTTTATTGTACCACCAGTCACGTGCACAGGGTGGATCCAGAGAATGTGATGTGCGAAGCGTTGAACTGGGTTGGGGATTTCATAGACACAGGGAGAAGGTGCTACTTGGAATTAATCGAAAATTAACCTGGATAGAGTACTAAAGCTCTCCTGTTTATTTATTATTTTTTTGTACTCTTCTATTTCTACCCCTCTTTTTTAAGGGGTCCGTCGACCACCTCTGGTGCATATAAACTGATAAGCGCGCATAAAAATATAATTATTTCTCTATTAGGGTAGTCATACAGACATTTTTCCTCCATGGTACCAGCATGCAGTGTATCCCATTATCGGCTGCATCGAACAAGACGTTCCAAGTCCACTTTAAAATAGGCCGCGTTATAGCAACAATAATCAACTACAGTAGAAAGTTCCACGTGCAATTTTTAAAAATATAATGGAAATTTAGCCACATAGGCAAGTGTCTTTCCAGCATTTTTAATTGATTTAGTTTGATGAATACAAAAGCTTTGTTTTTGAAAATAATTATATTATTTTACCCTACATTTTAATGGTAGAGTCTCATCATTTCAGCGACGCAACAGAACATGTGCTTCTGCTGTGGAATGTGAGCAATACAATCAACAGCTAATTAATTTTGGAAACAATGTTTTTAGCCCGGTTCGGGTTTACTGAACGAGGCGAGACTTTTTTAAATAAAATTGACAAGTGCAATTAGAAAATAAAATCATTCTGGTTATACAGTGGGCCTAAGGAAACAACATTTTAGTTTTATTGTCGCACATTCGTCGATTTTTTATAAAATAAATAAGCTAAAAAATAATAATTCTGAATTTATATAGCGCCTCACGTTGACACAACCTCAAGGTGCTAAAAACAAGGTATGAAATGTCTCGCCGTCCCGCGCTTTAAAATCTTAAAAAAAAAAATCTCTCAAAATAGTTTTTATTCCTTTCCAATAGACGTAAAGAAGAATTAAAATGGACAAAATTATTTATTCATAGTTAATTTCGTTCTTGGTTCCCAGGCCTTTATCTATGGCCCATATCATCATTGTTTATTCTGAATTATTTATTTCAACACCTTTAATCATTATCCCTTGTTATTTAAATTTTTAAATACAATCGTTGCTCTATTTCTTGTCAGTTGTCCTCACACGGAAGAAGGCCGTCGTGTTTGAAATATTTAAACAATGGAAATTGAGTGAGCAAACAATTACAGTGTAGTTAACAATCACCTCACTTTTGTTTGCCATTTAGTCATACTTCATTTTCCATCCCGCACTCAAAACCTTTGTCCCCCATCAGTTCCCTTGTGCCAAAAGATCGCTTTTGGGGCCAGGCTTTCTATGGTCTTTAGCAGCTTTAGTCTTTAATTAGAATAAAAAAATAAGACATTTGTTAATTTGAGATCACAGAAATGTGGTCTTTAATTACAGTAGAGGGGGGAACCTGTCTCTTATACACATCTAGATGTGTATAAGAGACTATGTATGTATGTGTATATGTATGTATGTGTATATGTGTGTATGTGTATATGTATGTATGTGTATATGTATGTATGTATGTATATATGTATGTATGTATATATGTATGTATGTATGTATATATGTATATATGTATGTATGTATATATATATATGTATATATGTATATACGTATATATATATATATGTATATATGTATATACGTATATATATGTATATATATATATGTATATGTCCTCATAATTTTATATATAGTCCACATAACCTTCTGTGAAGTCCCCATAACATTATTAGAATATACTTGACTAGCGCCTTCCAGAAAAAGGGTCATTTTGAATGTTTTCTGATTGTGTTTAAGGTTATAACACATCCCAGTAAAAAACTCCACAATTCATTATCTTATTAATTGATACTTGCACACAGTTTTAATAATAGTGATGAGGTAAGACGAAAAAATATGTCATATTACTAATTTGCAATGCATCTCAAAGATGGCCACCACTTTATTATAAAGGCAAGCATTATCAAGTTTTTCTCAGACATGCATTAACAGAATTGAACCAAACTTTCTACACATATTTTACACATTTATGACAACACCGTGAGTTAATTTGGTGGCAATTGGATGGTTATAATATATATATATTTTTTAATTTTTATAATATAATTTAAAATATAATTAAGATCATAAAATGTGAAGTACTAGGTAAATTTCTGAAATTAACTCAGGGTGTTGTGCTATAACATTTCTACAAACTGACCAAATCTGACAAGAAACTAGAAATACTCCTTTTACATTGTAAGCATAGCCTCCCCCATGGTGTAAATTAGTTAAAAGCTATTGTTGGTGTGTGACTGTTTTTTTAATAATATTAATATGATTAAAAGCTATTTTTTTAAATAAGAAATATGCACATTCGCGTCAGCATTTCAGCTAAGGAATTTAATTTTTTTTAAAATTAAATTTAGCCTAACCTATAAATGAAATAACCAAGATACGAAACCAAAACTTTCCAAAAAATAAATAATTTATCGATTTCCAGGTGATTGAATATTCAGTAATAGTAAATAAATTTTGTATTTTGCCATTTTTAGTTTCACCGCCGATAATTAATTCAAATATTTAAAAAAATCCGATTAGCACCAAAATCAATAGGGTTGATCTTCATATTATACTCTTGCATCATGCAATAGATTGAAATTAATTAAGCGTCAGGAGCGTGCGTCCACTGCCCGCCCACTGCCGAAAAACAGGGTAAAAACATTAGCCTCAGCTCCCAGAGCTACGCTCTTGGCAGAGGCTAATAAAAAAAATATGCTGATAATTGGATGTAAAATTTAGCAAAAATTGTGTTTGAAGAATGATACAGGTAAATGCATTTAAAATAAATGCATTTAAAATCAATAGGGTTGATCTTCATATTATACTCTTGCATCATGCAATAGATTGAAATTAATTAAGCGTCAGGAGCGTGCGTCCACTGCCTGCCCACTGCCGAAAAACAGGGTAAAAACTTTAGCCTCAGCTCCCAGAGCTACGCTCTTGGGAGAGGCTAATAAAAAAAAATATGCTGATAATTGGATGTAAAATTTAGCAAAAATTGTGTTTGAAGAATGATACAGGTAAATGCATTTAAGATAAATGCGTTTAAAAATAATGATAATCTTCAAATATAGATTTTCATGAAAAATATTTACTTAGGACACATATTACATGGTGTATATAAGTTTTAAATAATATATTCTTCACATTAATATATTGTACTAATTAGGTTAATTTTAGCAAAAAACAGAGAAAATAATACTTTATGGTACAATATGAAAATTGTTCCACAAAATTTTTTCAATGACATCAGAATATTTTGACTGCCTATTGTAATTCATAAACTTGTTTATATGCTTTTTTTGGCCCAGAGAGGTTGTAGTCAATAACTTAGTTCTAATTAAAGTTATCAACTCGTTTAGTATCTCCCTACTTCATATATAGGCTTATAGTTAGCTGGGCTGGAATACCCTAGGCTTCTATTCAAAGGCAGGTAGGCTAGGCCGGGGCCTAGCCCTTTTTTTGCCCTAGGCTACTAATGTTATATTTTCATTAAAATCAAATAACAGTACAACTAATATAATTTTACCTACCGTTTAGAAGATTTTATTTAGCAAAGTGAATGTTAAATTGTCTTCAGAATAATAATATCTTTGCCACAATTTCTAGAAAGCATGATGCATGCATTGATTCTTGTGCAGTCTTGTTCAGTCCTCATAATTTTATATATATGTCCTCATAATTTCATATATGTCCTCATAATTTTATATACAAGTCCCCATAACCCATAACTTCCAGAAAAAAATCATTTTGAATGTTTTCTGATGGAGTTTGTAAGTGAATCCAACATAGCTTGTACTCTAATGTCTAACACTCATTCTAAACATGCTTATATTATCTAATCAAAACAAAAAAATCAATAACACACAATCCAAATTTGTAGCACTCTTGCTGGGCAGTGCTCACTTCTGGAATTTCTAATGTATTATTTATTGAATATGTCTGTCAACTCGTTAAAAACATAGGTAGAGGGCGCTACTCAAGTATGAGACTACAGTACTGTGTTATGGGGACTCAAATTTAGTTATGTGGACTTGTATTATATATGAGGTGGGGGGGGGGCAACAAAAAAATAAGTGCACCCCATATGTTACTGAATTTATATATCAAAAATTTTGTTTTCACATATAAGTCCTCGTAATTTTATATATGCCCTCATAATTCTATATATATGTCCTCGTAGTTTTATATATTAGTCCCTATGACATTTACAGTATATAGAATATATTTTTGTAACTATATACCAATTCAATAAACCAATAATCACAGGTAAAGGTAAGCTTGTTAATGGACTTATTATGTAAAAATCTGCATGCTGCATTTGCTTCTATAATTATTCAAAATTCACATATAAATTTGTAATGTATATAATTTCCTAAAAAAGAAAAAAAAAACAGGGAAAGACACTGCCTCAGATAACTACTGTATATTACCGTAAATGATCGAATAAGCGCCGTGACGCTTATTAAATTTTTTTAAGGCTTTAGTGCGGCGCTTACTAAAAAGTCATTACAATTATGCCAATTATTATTATTATCATTATTATTTAAATGATGATAAAGTAGGTGTACAACCAAATTAAGATGAAAATTATGTTTCTGACCATTAATTATTATTGGTAAGTTATTTATTCTTAATAGCACTGTATACAAAATCTCAAATGAATGATCTCGAATAATTGCTGCGGCGCTTATTCGAGAGCGGCGCTTATTCGATCATCTACGGTATTCATTTATTCATGTAAAAACAAAAAATTCAACAAAATGGTAGATTTGTACTGTATTTTATAGTAAGTAAAATGCTGATACCTTTAATGTGCAAAGTAAAATGGAACACCATTCTTATGGAAATATAAACATCAATCATGGATCTGTTTGGGATTTTCCCTATAGTGGTAAAGAATAGATGCATGTGTTTTTCGGTAATACTACACGTATTTTTTACCATGGTGCATTTCTATTTATCGTATACCAAATTTGTGCTTGGTGTGAATGCAGCTTTAGTAAGCTAATGCCTTATATTAAACCAGTAAAACACCAAAATAAATAGTAAAGTTTAAAAGCATTATATTTTAAGATTAATACTACTACTGTATTAATACTACAGAATTTTAGCTAACATTTTATTTTTCAATACCTTTGATAAAAATATTTGACTTACTGTTGTACTGTACTGTAAAAAACATATGTTATGTAGGATCTAAACTATAAAAGTAAATTTTAAAGTCAATATAAATAAACAGCATTGCAGAGACAGTCAAATGAAAATATCCAAAACGATGTATTCATGCACATTTTTTTCTTAAAATGTTTAAAATAATAAATTCTAATTGAGTAAAGATATAAAGAATCTTCTTAAGTCAAATGAATATAAGAATTTAAAACAGAAGGCATAAAGGTGATTTATGAACATAAAAATAATTACCACAAATAATATTATTATTAGAAACAAAAAATGTTTAGTAGTACCTAAAACATCACATTTATTCACATATGATAGATAATTTAACAAACATCAAGCACACAGATGTCAATATATTATGATATAAACATTATCTGATGGCTATTGGACTGTTTATTAAACAAGCGAACTTGAAAAACATGAAAGCATATACAGTATTCAGTTTACGTCTAACAGTTTTGCACAAGAATCACAAACTGGATTACATATGTATCTCCCAGTCTCCGCAATTGGAGATTTATACCTTCTAAGGTTGTATTTATAAAATTTAATGTTCAACCCAGCTTGTAAAGTAAAATTTGATTTCGCCCTGTGTGTCATATTGAACATATGCTTTGACAACAATAGACTAATTTCATTAAACATTATTGGCAATTTTTGCTAAAGCACTATGTGAGGCAATGGACAGGTGAATGGACAAACAGCATTATGAATAAACAAACATTTTGGAAACTTTAGTCATAGAGAAGCTTAGCAACCTACGTATTACAATAAATGCAGTGTTTTAGAATGATACTTTAATTGTGAGTGATTAAATATTTCAACATTAATTAATCTATCTAAATCTATGCAACACTGTTCATGCCAAAGAAATCATATGCCAGATAATTATGAGGCGGTCGTCAGATAATGAAACATGTAATGTGGTTGGTTAGATTGTAAGTTTTAATAAACAGATGTGGTGATTGAATATTCAGGAATTTTAAAAGCATAATTAAATTTTGAGGTTGATCCACAGTGAGTGGGAATGGTTTGTCATTGGGGGGGGGGGACAAAGAAGGGCTTGGTGGAGGTCTGCACTCCCTGAATAATTTTAGTCGTTACACATTATCTCCATTTTAAAGAAATATTTTCTTTCAGCAAAATATTTTGCTTTTAAGGCAATTCTACTTGCAAATATGGTAGGCCTACTTTAAAACGATCATTCCAATGGAACCCTCTGATAAAAATTGTCTTTTGACTGTGTAATAAACATGCTTTATCCAAGCCTTTTTTTAACTTAAAAGAGTGAATAACTACAGAGTATATAATAAAAAGAAGCAAATTCAACATTGGGTTTACAGGCCATTCTGTACATTTACACGTAAAACAGTCTTCCGTAGAAATCTGTGTGTAGTGATATATTTTTTCTGGCTTAGCTGACTGAGTTCAGTTTACCCTCTCATAACAGCTTCCTGTTGAGGGCACATATTTTGGAAATATAATTAGCTGATAATGGAAAACATTGATACCAATTATTTTCAAAGTATTCAATATTTTTCAATTTTAGTTTTTAAATTAATATTTAATATATCAATATTATAATAATGATAGCCCATTCTACTGTTGTGAAGCTTTCGCACTTTGTGAAGCTCTAACAAGGTTATATAAGTTTTGATCAGTGTCAAAAACGTCTGGACACCACTTACAATACTATGTGATAAAAGGAAATTTTCCAATATTGTTGAATATAATAATAAAAATTGTAACCATTTAATAACATTTAATAGTTAGCAATAATATTTTTGTCAGACATTTTTGTTTATATTTAAAATGTACTATCACGTTTTCAAAAGTTAAATTCGCGGATCAGCATTTCGCTCTGTTCACAGTGATTAAAAACTAAATACTTTTACTAATTATTAAAATTAATCTACAGGTAAGCTTATCTTCTGATATCAGACTGCTATAAAACTATGGTATTCACAATGAAGCTTTGCAGTCAGTTATCTAGGTCATGAGTGTTTGGCCATTTGGATTATAAAATCAGATTATTAATTAAATATTAAACTTCTCTACAAAAAAACCTTATCATACTTTATGTATGTGAAGGTACGACAGAAAAGTGTACTGTTTACAGTTGTGGATCCAGATAAGTGAGTATCAATCTCCTCATCCCTTTCCCTTTTTTTCTTTGAATCATAATCACTCCTCACAATGGATTTAATTTTGACAGCACAGTTACTAATAGAATCATACGATTAGGTTCTATAATAAAAATTTTAAAAATCAAAATATAATCAGATAATGAATTCTGGTTCTAAAGATCCTGCTTCCCAAGAATAATGTTATTAACTCTTGTTCGGACCTGTGCCAATGTGCGGTCAGGTAACATTTTCACAACAGTTTTCAAGCTCTCTGTTGGTGGACATTTTTTAACTTTTAAATATTTTGCCAGTTTTTGATTAAAAATTTCCTTCTCTTCTTGGCTCCATCTTTTTCTCACATAAGTCTTGCCTGAAATAAAAGTAGTATTAACCCTTTTATTTTGACATTCAATATGCTCAAAAAGTTTTAAAAAGTGGCTATAAATTACTACCACCAGTCCAATTTTTCTGATAAAACTGGTTTGGTGTATTGATGTGGTGTTCCAGGAATTACTATCATATCATGGATATTCTCTAATATCAGCAGAATGTTCAACATCGTTTTATGGTTTGTGGTTCTGACTTGTGGTCCCCTTACTTTCTAAGGCTAAAAATAAAAACAAAAAATTTACTTTGAACTAATAATGTGATTGTTTAAGAAATGTAATTTACCTTCAACTCGTTTCTTTCTTTTTACAATTGTTTGTTTGGATTTACTTGTCTGAATATCACTATCGCTGCACCACTACCACTACCACTACCACTACCACCACCACCACCACCAAGATATCAAAATTACTATTTTAAAAAACAATACGATTGTAAGAAAGTAATATAGAAATAAAACTCGGTTTAAAAACACAAACACGACTGAAAGGAACATAAAAAACATGTAAAGACCTGTCTCTTATACACATCTAGATGTGTATAAGAGACAGACTGTATACTAATTTTTTGCATACAAACGCTAAAATTTCTTACCTTCTACATTATCATTACACTCTTCACTGCTACTCACATCCTTAACTGAACTACTTTCAGGATCTACATCTGAATCCATATTTGTCATGACATCTTCCACTTCTGGGGATAATAACAAATTCTCAAGAATTTAATGAATTGATAACAAATGTATCATGATATTGTTAAAATTTTCAAACATGTTCAGAAGAATTCTAAAATATATAGAACATTGTGTTTTATAAAATATCAATTCTCGGATAAGGACTTTAAACCGAAGTCCAGTGTACGACATGGCCCACGTGCACTTAAAAGAACCCAGTACATCTTTAGAGACGAGTAGAGGGTTAACCCGGTGTGCTGGTACATACATACATTACAGTCCTTAGCTCAGTGGACTGAAGAAAGTGGCGCTCTACTGTCTACACACAGTATCGTAACAGTAGGACATGCCGAGACCCTCGGGGAAGAAGAATGTTACTGAATGTGTAACATGAAGTCCACAGCGCCTTTGATGTAGGCTGTGGTCAATAAAATTGGCGCTATATAAATGACAACATTATCATTATCATAAGAAAGAAAAATGTTTTGTAAAAGTTGCTTAGACACATAATTGGCAATCTTACACTCTGTACATTTATCAACTAACCAACAGACACTAATTCCATGCAGATATCAAATATGTCCATAAAATCTTTTATACTCTTTATTCCTAAAACTCCCATATAGTGTCAATGCTATAACATTCTCTGGATAAGACATTTACTACAATCTTGCACATACACAACACAGTGACAACATTATTTCATTCTCAATTCTCTCCAGTGTATATACACATAGAAAGTGCTGACATTCTAAAGAAACTTCTCCAGCAGTCATCATTTATGTTACCATAAATATTTGATACATCACACAGGTCCTGTAGTCTTATGTATTGTATATTTCTCAAAAAACCAACAGTATACAATCTTTTATGCATAGTGCTCTATCACGTAGGTCCACACAGTATCTATAATCCTTTACCAGCACATGTTCTATGGATACAAATGACATTTCCCACAATTCATGCCTCTTATTCAAATAACACAGTGTTAAACTAGAATTTTATACTTCAAATATCACACAACTTTCTATACTTCATCTTCTTAACTCACCAACAACAGTCTAAAGATTTATATATACACATGTCCCCACAACTTTTCGTATGGTATATAACTGAACTCACCACAGTGTTGATTCTAACATTTCATAATACAAAAGCATTTTACTACAATTTTGTATACTCCTCATTCACCTTACACACTGTATTTACTAATATTTTATACATCACGCAGGTCCCCACAACCTTAAAATATTCTAAAATTCCACACATACATCATACAGGTCCCCACAATTTTCTCTACACTATATACCCAGGTACCTGTAGCTCACACTGAAATTTTACAATACAAAAGATATAACCTCAATCTTGTAATCTAATATTTTATATACATAAGCCACATAGGTCCCAACAATTTTGCATAACATTACAATTTGTTTATGGTCCCAAAACGCCACAAAATTCCATGACAATCAACTCATAACAACATAAAAATCATTTAATTTTGATGGTTTTTATACTATATCTCAGCTGTTAAACCAATTTCTTTGGCCGTTTCGATAACATGTGCACAAATTAGCAACCCATAACATGATTAAGATTACAATTTATAAAACCAAAGTACTTTTTTGGAATTTTTTTTTTACTGCAAACTCTCCTGATTTTCGTTCATTGATTTGAAGCACTCAAAAATCTACTCTTGGTTAAAATATAAACGCCTCTAATTCAGGAATCACTGATCCGATTTCAATGGCTGTTCAGCTGCATCGTTTTAAGTATTCTAAAAGTTTATTGTACTACTTGTATTCTACCTTCAACTCGTTTCTTTCTTTTTACAATTGTTTGTTTGGATTTACTTGTCTGAATATCACTATCGCTGCTTGATTCACTTTCTGAAATTACAACAAACAGTATTAATATTTCATAAATGCTAAAACAACCAATAATGTCAACTTAAAAATGCATTTTTTAAGAAATGTAATTTACCTTCAACTCGTTTCTTTCTTTTTGCAATTGTTCGTTTGGATTTACTTGTCTGAATATCACTATCGCTGCTTTCTGAAATTACAACAAACATTATTAATATTTCATAAATGCTAAAACAACCAATAATGTCAACTTAAAAATGCATTGTTTAAGAAATGTTAATTTACCTTCAACTCGTTTTTTTCTTTTTACAATTGTTCGTTTGAATTTACTTGTCTGAATATCACTAACGCTACTTGATTCACTTTCTGAAATTTTAAACATATCAATATTAACAACTGATAATGTTCATTTATAAATCCATTGCTTAAGAAATTTTAATTTAATTTCAACTTGTGTCTTTCTTTTAAAGTTTTCTGTTTAGTTTTACTGGTTACTAGGACATCATTTTCTCTGCTTGTATATACTGAAATTCAATTAAAATTTGTTTTCAATATGCTCAAACAACAATGATGCATAGTTAAAAAATATTAATTCACCTTCAGCTTGTGTCTTTCTAGGTTTATGGTTTACCTTACTGATTGTCGGAATGTCATTGTCACTGCTTATGTCACTCTCTGAAATTTAAATATTTGAATTTATTTTAATTGCATGTTAAGAGTTGAAATCATCTACAATTACTCTAGAGTAATTTAAAAAAATGTGTAGTTTTGTTCCGTGACTGATTAATAAATTCATGAAACCGACTGATAAAGCATGTTCATATATAATAGCAATCATCATTATCAAATTTATCCCTACATAATAACAGAATATGAAAAAATAAATTTATGCAATGTACATATTCTTTAAGAGTTCTGTCAAACTATAAGAACGAATCTACAGACAAATCAGTATAATCTCACTAAGGTAAACAATTTTTTTAGCACAGATTACCATGAGAACTCTCTCTTGGTTGTGGAATATCCTCCTCTTCTTCATTATCCTCATCTGCATTATTAAACATACATATGTCTGTAAAATAAAGTATGAAACGTTTATATCACCCTGACACGTGACACTGTATGTTTCCTTTTTTTGGTGGTTGGCTTTAATGTCACTGCGCTGACAAAATTATATTTTGAATACTGTGTATAAAATGCATGAAGAAAACTTCTATCAATAAAGTGGTTGGTCATAAATTTTGATGCAAAAGTCTTAAAATTGACGTCCCATTGCAACTATAGAGTATCAATGATTAATTTCCATTGGCCTTTTTTACCTCCGCCAAAGGCAGAGGTTATGTTTTTGGTACCGTTTGTTTGTTTGTATGTTTGTTAGCAAGAAAACTCAAAATTGGCATAACAGATCAAACTGAAATTTACACCATTTGTTAAGACTCACTCACTGTAGAAATGATTATCTCAGTACTTTTCTAGTTTTTATTTTTCAATATCAATAATAGTATTAAAACATGTCTAGACACAAATTATTATAAAGATGTTTTTTTACCTAAGATATTATAGTAAAGATGAATATCTTACCGTTTTCATTGATTTCACTAAGATTTTTTCCCTTGACCTCTTTAATTCTTCCATTCTCCATTGCTAGTAATAGCTTGGATATTTTGCCGGCTTCTATTACCCCAGAATGTTGCCGGTAAACATCCAAATGGATAGACAACTCATGACCGAGATGATTGGACAGCCACTGCAACTCTCCTTTAGTTAAAGCAAGAACCTAGCATATGTACAAATTAAATTTATGACATTTCATTTGATTCCATTAAAAAAAAAAAAAAATAGCAATTGAACATTACTCTCAAAATTCAGTTTAAATAAAGAATCTATATTAAAGAAACAACACTTCTAAAAAAGGGGGTGGGGGCCGGTGTATTGGCTTAGTTACAGTACTTTTCTGATACTTGAGCTTTTTTATTCTTAAAAAACCTGACATTTACAAAGCAATACTAATTAGAAAATACCTTTTGAAAAAACACTTAGCTTAACACAAGCTTCATGAATATTTAAATTAATTTCTGCTACTTCTAATAGTGTTGGTTCATTACCATGTAATTAATTTCTTATTAAATTTTTCCAGAAACATTGACTAGACAATATTGGGTAGAAATAATTAATTAATAATTTGTTTGTTATTTTTGTTCAACAATGTTAATTATTGGTTTAGTATAATTTACAGTGGTTCCATTAAAATTAAAGGCGAAATTTTATTTAATATTTGTGGTAGATAATATATATGTACCATATCATTATGAAAAATATCAATTTTTTTATTTACTACCTGTAGCATTGTAGCTGTATATTTCCGTAATCTTGTGGTTGAAATATCGACTGCACTCTCACAACCAGCATTACTCACATAATTGTTTAGTGTCTAATTGTAAAGAAAATAAATTTATGCATGTTAATGTATCCAAGCAATTTCTTTACCAGTAGAAAATAATATTAAACCCAAAATCTCAGATACTAAACTTTACTTATTGTTCAAATCTTAATATTCACATTCACAGAATCAAAGTGAACATATTTATGCATAGTTATTTCTCACTTGCAGATGAAGACCATCATTTTTTAACTCATTTAAATAAATTGTTTTTTCTTGCAATACTTTGATGAGATTAGATTTGATGTTGAAAATACTGATGGTTTTAATATTTTGTCATAAATGTTTTGCAATCAAAGAAATATATTTTAAAACAGATGTGGTCATTAAAAAAAACAATATGTACACACCTGCCAAGCATTAATATACGTCAGTGTTTTGGGAACTGCAAAAAAATAATCATTTTCTGGTAAAACATTGCAGGCCTCCCTTGTTTCCACCAGCAGTTCCATGGGCTGAACCCATTCTCTTTTTATTAGCATTGGCACTTTCCTGTTTCTCTTCCCAGGAAGTTTCATACAATCAAATCTAAAATAAAGAAAAAAATACAAAAAAAACCTTATAACAATATGCTGCTAATAACATTGCCAATTTCCATTTTTAAGGTGCAGTACTAGAAACAAGAATAGAAGTAAGATGTGTTTACATCATCTTATTTTTATGATTTATTTTATTTTTTTGTTTTATTACATTTAAAGTCTGCAGAATAAATAATATAAATTAGTTGTTACCTTTTTGCCAGTTGCTGCTCCATGGAGCTTAAACTCTCCATTAGATCCTTATGCACACCTTCATTACTCTTTTGCCTATCTGTGAAGCAAGAAACTCTTATTCTACTCACTTCCCCACCTCTACGTTTGTTGAAGACTGTCACTAGTACGAAAATGGTCTTCGTAAGTGCTCTCCAATTTGCTTCACAAGGATCAGATTTTAATTTTTTGCATTCTACATCTAGACATGAGTTTGTATACTCATGCAATTTCTTAAGGTCTTCTGTTGTTGGAAGACTTTCTTTTTTTGTGTATTCTCTTTCTTTCAGAACTTGTAGAGCTGGACTTGAGATGGTATCCGTCCATTCTTGCCGAAACAAGTCTCTGAAATTTTCGGCATCTTTTTGCATAGTTAAATCTCCCATGCGTATTGCCTTTCCATGTTTGATGTGGCAACACTTTATTAAACTGTGCCCTAAATGCAAGCCCAGAGATGGTGATTTGGTTGTTTGTACACCATGCATGGTCTTAGCCTTCTGGGGAACACAGAGATGCTGGGTTGCACTGACTACTGTGTCAAAATGCTTTCCATGTATACACTTTTCCAATCCAACATCCTTGCCAAGTATCTGTCGAATTGTTAAAACTAATCGACCAAGTTGCCTCATTTTAGCCGAAATTTCGTTCTTCTTCTTTTCACCTTTCCTTTCCAACAATACTCCTCCAAAATGAAGTATAAGGTCATCATTCGCCACTGTCTTTTTAATATTCTCGTTTTCTCTTTCCCTCATGGTGCTTACGATTACTTTCAAAACTCTTTTATGACTCAACGTGTCTTTTGCTCCATAAATATTACCACCATGGAGCAACATTCTGCACTGCGAAATGTAAGACTTTATTTCCTTAAAATCTTCATTTTCATCTTCCTTCTTCTTACTATGCTTACATCGTTTTGCATGTGCCCAAATTTCTGAAATCTCTATAAAACCATAACAGAATGTACACGGAAGGTAATTTTCACAGGGTTTTGGCTTTAAAGGTCTTCTTGCCACAATTAATTCTCCCTTACCCTTTTCAAAAATCGTCATATTATAGTTAAAATCTCCCATATACCGTAGTTTTTCAAAAGCTAATCTTTGTTGCTCTTTATTAGTATAGGCCAGAATCCTTGCCACTAATGGTTCATTTGGATGTTGCTTTTTGTAGTGACGTGGCATTTTCCCATGCAGTACTGTTTCGCAAAAATAGCAAACATTTTTCCTATTGTACATTCTTCTTCCATCATTTTTTTTACAGTACTGTGGTACTGTAATGTTTGGATATTTTGTTTTCATTTCAATTTTCTGGAAAAAAAAATTACATTAAACAAATGTCACAAAATTAAAATACATAGACTAGTTCAATGAAAAATGATTTTAAATGTGTATTTAAATGATATATGTTAGATATTAGTAAATCATCAAATATACAGCAAAGATTTACATCTCGTTATATACATACTCTTTCCATATTTTTTTTCTGATTCATTTAACAGCCGAATCATGAACTCATAAAAAAATATTACTAATGTAAAGTAATTTTTGGATGACTTATAATGACTAAAATAAAGCAAGGAAATATTTCTAAGTGGCACAAATGAAGTGTGTTGCTCGAAATTCACAACAATAGCAATGGTTAGGCTATACAATGAACTCACACACGACACAGTAAACTTCAAAACTTTGTTAAATGTAAAACCAACTTTATCTTCGAGTTAAAACAGTATTTCAACAACTTTTATACATATTTTGTTGTCAAACTCCAAAACATGTCCGTATGCGGTCAAAAGCTATTGGGCTAACGCCCTCTATATTCTCAAAATACGCCAGGCGTGCAATAACAATTTTATTTAATAATGTTGATGACATCAAGTATGTGTTAAGGGTCGGTATGTACACAGGACTGTACTGTATGTGTCTTTGCAATCCTACAAAAATTTAACAGTGGGTAACGAAGATCAGAAAAAGCAGACATTCTACGGTATATACTGGTGTATAAGCCGCACGGTTGCAGAAGCTGCAGGGGTAATTCTCGATAGCAAATTGATATAATTTTGTACGTTGTTTGTACAAGCTGCAGCAATAATCAGACCTTCATTTAAAAAAATCAAGCTCTCAATAATTTAAGGAGAGCGGTTTTCTCGTGGCAAAAATTTGTCATACACATTTTAGTCAAAGTAATGCTTTTAAATAAGTGAGACAGCAAAGTGTTTTTAGACAGCATTATAATGTAAATAAAATTAAATACAGTATCAATGTTTTATGCGTGTCATTTTTTCCAGTGATATCAAGGAGCGTTTTAAATAGCTTTCCTCAAAGAATTTTTAGTGCTAAAAATTTAATGTCAGGTGTATAAGCCACACTGTAATTATTGCAATAAATTTGCGTTATCAAATTTGTGACTTATACACAGTTATATAAGGGAGTAATGACAAACAATTAATTAAAAACATACCTGTCTACTATCTCTACAATCAATTTTTTGCATCATTTCTTTATATCTCGAATTTGTTTCATTTTTTTTTCTTTGTCGGCCTCGATGCTCTCCTGTGAATGAAGTACATAAAACCATCAGAAAAACTACATTACATAGTATAAAGAAAATAGTGGATTTTTGCTTTGAGATACAAGGTAAAATGTATGATAATGTGTAATTAAAATACCAAATCTTGCATTAAAGTAAATACACTCCAATAACACATGCCTATATACTCTATACTGTAAATAAATATTTTATCAATTTAATTTTGCATACTGTTATTTTTTAATCCAAATACCCAAGTTTATATGCAAAAATTGTTGTATTTTATTTTCATTTGCAATTATTGTTATGGGGTTGTGAACCCTTTGTATTATAGAGCCAGTAGCTGTTGAAACCTAAATTTATAATAATCATACAATCTTAAATTCACCAACAGTACAGTACATACTGTATACTAATTTTATGCATACAAACGCTAAAATTTCTTACCTTCTACATTATCATTACACTCTTCACTGCTACTCACATCCTTAACTGAACTACTTTCAGGATCTACATCTGAATCCATATTTGTCATGACATCTTCCACTTCTGGGGATAATAACAAATTCTCAAGAATTTAATGAATTGATAACAAATGTATCATGATATTGTTAAAATTTTCAAACATGTTCAGAAGAATTCTAAAATATATAGAACATTGTGTTTTATAAAATATCAATTCTCGGATAAGGACTTTAAACCGAAGTCCAGTGTACGACATGGCCCACGTGCACTTAAAAGAACCCAGTACATCTTTAGAGACGAGTAGAGGGTTAACCCGGTGTGCTGGTACATACATACATTACAGTCCTTAGCTCAGTGGACTGAAGAAAGTGGCGCTCTACTGTCTACACACAGTATCGTAACAGTAGGACATGCCGAGACCCTCGGGGAAGAAGAATGTTACTGAATGTGTAACATGAAGTCCACAGCGCCTTTGATGTAGGCTGTGGTCAATAAAATTGGCGCTATATAAATGACAACATTATCATTATCATAAGAAAGAAAAATGTTTTGTAAAAGTTGCTTAGACACATAATTGGCAATCTTACACTCTGTACATTTATCAACTAACCAACAGACACTAATTCCATGCAGATATCAAATATGTCCATAAAATCTTTTATACTCTTTATTCCTAAAACTCCCATATAGTGTCAATGCTATAACATTCTCTGGATAAGACATTTACTACAATCTTGCACATACACAACACAGTGACAACATTATTTCATTCTCAATTCTCTCCAGTGTATATACACATAGAAAGTGCTGACATTCTAAAAGAAACTTCTCCAGCAGTCATCATTTATGTTACCATAAATATTTGATACATCACACAGGTCCTGTAGTCTTATGTATTGTATATTTCTCAAAAAACCAACAGTATAAAATCTTTTATGCATAGTGCTCCATCACGTAGGTCCACACAGTATCTATAATCCTTTACCAGCACATGTTCTATGGATACAAATGACATTTCCCACAATTCATGCCTCTCATTCAAATAACACAGTGTTAAACTAGAATTTTATACTTCAAATATCACACAACTTTCTATACTTCATCTTCTTAACTCACCAACAACAGTCTAAAGATTTATATATACACATGTCCCCACAACCTTTCGTATGGTATATAACTGAACTCGCCACAGTGTTGATTCTAACATTTCATAATACAAAAGCATTTTACTACAATTTTGTATACTCCTCATTCACCTTACACACTGTATTTACTAATATTTTATACACCACGCAGGTCCCCACAACCTTAAAATATTCTAAAATTCCACACATACATCATACAGGTCCCCACAATTTTCTCTACACTATATACCCAGGTACCTGTAGCTCACACTGAAATTTTACAATACAAAAGATATAACCTCAATCTTGTAATCTAATATTTTATACATAAGCCACATAGGTCCCAACAATTTTGCAAAATATTACAATTTGTTTATGGTCCCAAAACGCCACAAAATTCCATGACAATCAACTCATAACAACATAAAAATCATTTAATTTTGATGGTTTTTCTACTATATCTCAGCTGTTAAACCAATTTCTTTGGCCGTTTCGATAACATGTGCACAAATTAGCAACCCATAACATGATTAAGATTACAATTTATAAAACCAAAGTACTTTTTTGGAATTTTTTTTTTACTGCAAACTCTCCTGATTTTTCGTTCATTGATTTGAAGCACTCAAAAATCTACTCTTGGTTGAAATATAAACGCCTCTAATTCAGGAATCACTGATCCGATTTCAATGGCTGTTGCAGCTGCATCGTTTTTGAGTATTCTAAAAGTTTATTGTACTTCCTTAAACATGTGAAAATTTCTTCCTTACCGCCAACACTACCATTGTCATCTTCACTGCTGCTCACATCCTTGACTAAATTGCCTTGAACTTCTACATCCATATCTTCCAAGACATCTCCCACTTCTGAGAAAAAAAAATATTGTGATGAATATATGTAATGTTTTCAAAAAGGTTTGCAAGCATTCAATATTAAACATTGTGCTACAAACTACATGCATTAATTTAGTAAAAAAATATATTTTGCACAGATATCAAAATTTTGCTTTTGGAAAAACCCCACAACCTGGCATACCCTATATTTGCCAACTAACCAACAATACATATAGTAGTACTGTTTTATACATACACCACACAGGTTCCCACTTTTATACTGCACCCCCCCCACCCCCACCAACAATAAGTACAAACTTTAACTTGATCGGGGGTTCGAGTCCGCTGCTGTGCAAGTCACTTGTGTCCTTGGGTAAGACACTTTATCTACGTTTGCCTCTCTCCACCCAGGAGTATAAGTAGGTACCTGGTAGGATGATGTTGCATTGATTGTTCTAGATCGTGCGCTAAGTAAGTAGCTGCCAACTAGAAATACTCCGTAGGGACTCGAGAGGGTTGCACTTTGTGCTGTCATGCCACTGTATGCTATCCACTGACCAGAGGTAATACTGCTCAGCGCATTTGATCAACTCTGGAATTTGCGCTTTATAAATGTTTGAGTATTATTATTATTATTATTATTATTATTATTATTATTATTATTATTATTATTATTATTATTATTATTCTGCAAAAGTGATTTCTAATAGAAAGGAAATCTTACTTGTATTTTAGCATTTGTTGAAAGAAATAAGATTTTCTCTTTTGCTCTGTATTTCTGATATATATTGTTATGGTAATATGCATTGAGACTTAATTTACAAAAAATTTTCATGGGAGGGGATTCCACCCCCTGGCTCATTTACTCTTCAGTGCTCTTCACTCACTGACCCCCCTCCCCCTATCAAAAATGAATCCACCTTTGCTCTCCAAACTTAGCCTACAAAATTAGCGATCCTTGCCGAGCAAAAGCATTGTCCTGGAGAATGAAATAGTATTTCAAGTGGATGAACAATAAAACTTTCCACTGTACCATTAATGCACATACAACAAAAACTTCCAATCAAAATCAACCAACCAATCAATATTTATTCTTGGTCCTATAATAATAAACATTAATGAACAGTTTTTGTATTGCTAATTTTATTACAAAAATATGTACTGCCTTAAGAGAAAAATTACTTCCTTACCTTTAACATCATCATCATTGTCATCTCCACTGCTACTAAAATCTTTAACTAAACTGCTTTCAACATCTACATCATTATCAATATCATCCATAACATCTTCCACTTCTAAGGAAATTAACAAATTCCTCAATTTGATAAAATGAATTAAGGAAAAAAAAATTAATTATTTAATTAAATAGTGTTAATTAATAATTAATACTATTATTTAGTACATTTTCAATTTGAGATTTTTCTTTGTTATATATCTTTTATATATCATCTGTGGAGTTTTTAATTTTTTTTTGCAAAACTTTTTAGCAATATTGCAGATTCATAAGAAAATGTGTGAGGAGTTTAGTATCCTTTCCAGGGGGAGTTCACTTTCATCCATTACTTAATTGCATTATTAAAGGTAAGAATTAGAAAATAAAAAAACACAGGCTAAATAAAATACTCATGGGTGGTCTTCCCTTTCGTGCACATATTTTCTGATAAAAACCTGGTGATTTTTTGCACTTCCAGACAATTTCCATTTTCCAAAAAACAATTACATAGACAGTCAGTTGTAAAAAAGGTTCCATGGGGAGGCTTATCATGCAAGCTCCTTAGGCATCCCTTTCACGCAATAAACAGAATTTAGTTTTTAAGGGTAAATTACCAGTACAAGCTCAGAAAATAACTCTCAGGAACGGAGTATAAGTTTAGTAGATTCATTCACATCGAAAAAAATGATATCTGAAACTGTTAAATTTTTATCTCAACAGAGAAACATATTTCCTATTAGTCACATACCTTCAATATTCAAAGAATCTTTACATAGAAGAATGGACTGAAGTTTTTTGAACAAGATAATAGCCTTTTCCCTTACAGATTCATTCAATTTATATTTTCCAATCTGTAGAGAAAAAAAAAACATGTAAAGACAGCATATGAGTGTGTCTGCTTGATCTACAATAATTTGAGTTGATTTTAAAGACTCCCTGTCTGCAAATTGAAAAAAAAATATATTTTTCACTTTCCTGTCATGTACAGTATGTATCCTTTGTTAATAACATATTGGAAAATAAGCAAACTAATGCAGCACAACGTAACAGCTAGCTAGCCATTGATCACATCTGCTAAACTTACCTGGCTTGTCAGTGCATTGTTAGCCTAGGCTGAGGGATTGCTCTGGCTTAGCTACTGCGACTGGTCCACAAGGAACCCTGGAATACGATTATCATTTCATGAGTGATGCATTCGGGGATTTTAGGGCTCCACCGAAAAATTAAAATGCCGATATATTTTGAATAATTCTGACTGTTTTCGCCAGTTAAATTGTATATTTTAAGAATAATACATGATAAAAAGGAAAAAACTTTTTTTTTTGAATTGCAGACAGGGGTCTTTAATCTAAATTGATGTTTCAAGTGAACTGCTATTCTTGTTCATTGTATCACTAGTAATTCTGACAAACCTGAGTTAATAAAATTATTTTTAGACTAAACAAAAGGTTTATTTATTCTATATCAGTTGCTGAAAATGCCATTGAGAATGGATTAGTAATTCCTAAATTAGAGCAGTTTATATTGTAATCAAAAGTAGTTTTTTGCAGCACTTTAAGTCAAGAGCCTACTGTAATGCCTTGACGAAAATCAGGAGAGCTCCTGGTTAAAAAAATTACTTTGATTTATAAATTGTAATCATGTTACTAGGGTTAATAATTTGTTCAAGTTATAGATACAGCAAAAGAAATCGCTTAACTAACAGCAAAGATATAGTAAAAAACCATCAAAATTGGCAGATTTTGATGCCATTATCAGTCATTTGTCTTGGGATTTTGTGGTGTTTTGAGACCAAAAACAAATTTTAATGAACATATTTTAACAACAGACAGTCAGAGAAACATAATTTGAAGCAAATTTAGCTCTTCTGCATACACCTTCTTTGTACTCACTGTTTTAATTGTCCTCATAAAGTCACTGTTCTTTCTTAAAAGACACTGTGTTAATTTCAGTGTCGAAATTTCATTCAAGACATCTATACAAGTTGAAAAGTTCTGTAAGTCATAATAAAATATAGCTATCATGTTCAAATTTGAAACAAGGCATTAATTTTTTTATGGTCTTCAACATACTGTATTTGATTTTAGATTACATAATGATAATAATAATAATAATGATGTTACATGCACTTATTATATTAAACATCAATCAATGTTGAATCAATTGGAGTTACGGTTGTGAAATATAAGGTCTTTATTTACTTACTGGGTTATTTTTTGATAATGATCTCTTTAATTTGAAGTTAAGAAGTTCAAGTGAAACATCTTCACCATCAAACCCCTGCAAGCAATAATTTCAAATACATAAACATTTCAAAATCACAAGACAAATTTCTATATAGTATTATTGTTTTGTTTAATTCTCGTTTGTAGTGTCACACAATTAATAATTTTAGAGATTAAAAAAATGAATATAAATAATTAATTGAAAAAATCATGAAAATACCAAATATTACCTCAAATTCATTTTTTTTTGTCTGTTCAGTTTCATGAGCTGTCATTTCTGACTCTTTAAATTTTAGCGATCTTTTTTCAGTCAGTATTTGCAGGTTCTTTTTGGGAGCTATAATTTTCAGTTCATTAAATTCTTCCTCAGTTTCCTCCATTGTCAATTCTGGTATCGAATCTGATTGATTATACGCCACCTCTTCCGCCTCGGCATCTTTTTCTTCAGTTCCCAATTCTGTTTCACTCGCCTCAGCTCGTTGGTTCTGAACCTCGGTTTCCTCCGTTGTCAATCCTAACTCAGTTACCATCACATTTTTCTCTGTTGACACTGCGGTATTAACTTCTATACCAATTTTTTTGGGTATCGAATCTGATTGATCACCCCCAACCTTTTCTGCCTTGGCATCTTTTTCTTCAGTTCCCAATTCCGTTTCACCCGCCTCAGCACATTGGTTCTGAACCTTGGTTTCCTCCGTTGTCAATTCTGGCTCAGTGACCATCACATTTTTCTCTGTTGACACTGAGGTATTAACTTCTATACCCATTTTTTAGGGTATCGAATTTGATTGATTATACCCCACCTCTTCGGCATTGGCATCTTTTTCTTCAGTTCCCAATTCCGTTTCACTCGTCTCAGCACGTTGGTTCTGAACCCGTTTTAAATCTGTTTTTTTAAAACAGTGTTTATGCCATGTCATTCCACAGCCTACAAAAACATCAGAATGATTAGATAACTTTAAAACTGCTAGGTTAAAATGGCAGATTATTATTACACAACATTCATCTTGCACTGTTACAAAAAGGTTACTCTCTATATTTTAGTCATAAAAGTTTAGCAAAAATAGTATTTAGAAGGCCAGAGTATCTTTAATTATATTGAGTGGTGTGCCAAATACAAAATATAATTGACTATTGGCTGATTTTTAATTAAATTAATGAGTCAAAACAGTCTTTACCTCAGTATTTTGTCCCTTTCTAGGTTTACACAAAGCTTCAAATTGCAAGTTCAATCATAGACAAAAAAATTTTTAAAAATTTAAATAAAATTGTAGAGATAGAAGCTGTGGGCAAATTTATTCAATATAAATACAAAGACAAGCGTCTCATTTAGTTCTATGTTCAATGTAGAATAAAAAAATACTAAGATTTTATAAATTTATGAAATATAATTGAAGTATTAAGTACTTTAATTTGGTTTTTTTTTAACTGTTTAAGGGAGCCTCAAGAAATAACCCGACGCGTGAGGTGGAGTCTACCACGCGAAAACGGTCGACCACGCGTCGGTGGCCTATTAAAATGTCAAATTAGCCTCTTGTGTCATCAACCCGTCAACGGCGCGTCGCCCACACTTATATTGATACGATCAGGACATACCACTTTGTATAACATGTGCATAATTTTGAAAACAGCCTATTGAATATTCTTTGCAATAACGACGTGTTGTTAAGGAATTTGCAGTAAGAATCACGTTAGTTGGAGTTTTTTTTACACAACTTCGAATTTTTAATTTTATTGCCAAGGCCAATTTGTGGATGAAAAGATCCATAGTTACGTGCTTATTTCACTAAAAATAAATATAAGATAAGAACTAAAAGTGCTATACTGTACTGTATACTGATATTTTCTTTCATAATAAAAATAAGTGTTTCTTGTGTGTTTTCGGCGTCAAACATTCCAGTAACAATATATTTAGCCACACTGTTTCTAGTATGAACAAAAAAAAACTCTTTTATTATTATTATTGAATTTAAGATTTCGTTAATTATCAAAAGCGTATTTTGATTATTGTAGGCCTAAATCATGAATAAATGCCTTATTAAAGACTCGCACGCAATGGATATAACTTATTGAGAAACTAGCTAGAAAAAATAAATACGTTTATCTACATGATATTAGTTATTTAACCTGCCTAGCTCAAATCATCAAATATCCAGCTTGGATGCTACTGACTCTCGTAAAGTATGGACGTGTTTTGAATATTGTGGATTCCAGTTCCCATAAAGGACCCTTTGTTTCCAATCAACTTGCGTTCATACCACAGCATGTCCAAACTAGGAAAGGCTAAGCGGCAGAGACAATTATCGTCGCTGGACAGCTCAGCAGAAGAAATAGTAGTAGGCCTACAGGTAGAAGATAAGGATAAAAACTTATCAGAAATTGTAAAAATGTTAACGGAATTAATTAGTGATATAAAAGAAGTGAAAGAAAAACTTGATAAAGCGGAAGCCAACAATATTGTGCAGCTTAATGAAATTAGAAACTTAAAGGAAGAAAATAGAGAGTTGAGGAAAAGAATCGGAGATTTAGAAACAACGGTTGAGAACATGGACATAGGCATAGAGGATATAAAATATGAACTGTCTTTAAAAGTGAACTCAAGTGAGTACCAACAGATGGAAAATAGAGTAGAACTCGAAGGTAAGCATGTTAACTATGAAATCATAAGAAAGAAAGTTGAGGACCTAGAGAATCGCTCAAGACGAAACAACGTTATTTTTTATGAAATACCAGAGGAAAGCGAAGGAAGATATTGTAAACAATTTATGGAAGAATTTGTAAATAAAGGATTTGGTTACGAAGTGGAGATAGAGAGAGCGCATAGAATTGGTACACGTAAGTTGAAAAATAAAAAACCCAGACCAATAATAATTAAACTTTTAAATTATAAAGATCGAGAATTATTACTAAAAGAATCTGGAAAGCTGAAAGAAAAAAAATTTAAAGGAAAAAGTATTTTTTTTATCAAATGACGTGTCCAAAATAGTAAGAGAGGAAAGAAAAAAATTAAACAAAGAGAAAAAACGATTAAGAAGCGAGGGGAAATTTGCGAAAATCCCTTGGTCTGTCCCAGCGACTCTGATTACAAAACTTGAAAATGGGAAGTATACTCGTTTGTCCGTTGATGACGTGGTACGAAACGGACAGGTTTAAGTCAAGCACAAAAATGAGAAGCTGATAAGACTAATCTAACGTAACCAAAATTTGTACATAATTTTCATATCGTGATGCAAGATTTACTTTTTTTCTCTTAATTTTCTTTTTTTTCCGGTTCTGAAATATCCACTTGAATTATTATACAATGGAACCTCGATTTTACAAACCTCAATTTTATGAACCCTCAATTTTACATACACCTAAATCCACTAAAAATGTTATAGACCTATATTAAGAATTTAGCAAAGTTTAACTAAATCTAATGTAAAATATGTTAAAATTAACCAATATAAGTTCAAAATGTATTACAAATCTGTATTATAATAGAATTATAAAGTAAATAGGACAATAACTAAACTCGATTTTACAAATCCTCTTTTTTTACATACCCCTTCTGGTCCAATACGGTATGTAAAGTCGAGGTTCTACTGTATATTATATTATATTTAATCGTACTTTCACTCAAAGCTTAACTTAAATGTTGACATCCAAGTAGCAATTTCATTAAAAGGAAAAAACCATCTTGTCCTTCATACACTTATGTTTAGGGACATTATTATACTGTACCGGTACATTGTAAATGACAAATTACTTTTTCTCAAATATTCTAAAAGGCAATTTACTTTAAGATTTAGCCATTATGCAAAGGGTATTTTGGTTGACCATTGCTCTATAACTCAGTTTTTAAAGTTTAACCGTGTCTGCCAATTCGATAAATCCTATTGTTATGATTTTATCTGTGATAGTTCCCAAAATTTAGCGAAATACAACTTTAATTCAAATTTATATATTTATAATACTTTTGCAAATGATACCCAAACTTATGTTAGCCAAATTACGTATGGATATCAATTAGAGGAAAACGAATTTACTTATGTTAAGGAAAACAAATTTACTATTTATTAATGTTAAAGAAAATGCGACAAAGAATTTCATGTTAGTTGTATATAAGGTTTTCATATACAGCAAGTTTTTTATGTATTTAAATTGTGTAAATGACTCAAGAAAATATTAAAATAATATCCTATAATTGTAGAGGATTGGGTGATAAATTCAAAAGGCTTGACGTATTTCACTACTTAAAAAGCAAACAATGTTCAATTTATTGCTTACAAGACGTTCACTGGACATCCGATATGGAAGACGCCATAAGAAATGAGTGGGGTTCACAATGTTACTTTAACTCCTATAAAGGCAACAGTCGCGGGGTCGCAATCCTTTTCAACAATAATTTAACTTATACAGTACATGGAAACTTAAAAGACGATAATGGAAATATTCTTGTCCTTGATGTAGATCTGGAAGGTATAAGAATTAGTTTAGTTAATATATATGGCCCAAACACAGACTCTCCAGAATTTTTCTTAAAAACGCTAGAAATGGTCGAAACATTCGACAACGCTTTTTCAATTTTTTGTGGTGATTGGAATCTTACCCTAAACCCCAAATTAGACTGTAGTAACTACGTTAACATAAACAATCCTAGAGCCCGTGCGGTAGTTACGGACTGGTGCGAAACAGGAAATTTAGTCGATCCATGGCGTATTTTTCATCCATTAGAGAGAAGGTATTCTTGGAGACTAAAAAATGTTAAGAAACAAGCCTGTCTAGATTTTTTTTTAAAAACTATTTTCTGAACTATTGACAAAAGTTGAAAATTGCGAAATCTTACCAAGTTATAGAGCAGATCATTCAATTGTCACTATAGAATTAAATTTTAGGGTGACCGAACGTGGCAAAAGATATTGGAAATTTAATAATTCCTGCCTTAGAGATATAGAGTATGTTGAACTAATTAAATCTGTTATAACCAATATAATAGTTCAATATGCAGTAACCTTAAAAATACAACCTTAAAAACTTAAATTTAATTAATTCAAAAGATATTTATTTCACTGTTAATGATCAACTCTATTTCGAGACTCTGTTGATGGAAATAAGATCAGCAACAATTCAATACGCAGCTCGTAAAAAACGCCTAAACTATGCCCACGAAAAAAACATTGAACGCGAAATAGAATTTCTATCCGAAAAACTTAATAAAAATCCAAACGACTACGATATAGCCCAATATAATGAAAAACAAAAAGATCTTGAAAATATTAGGAAAATACGTATAGATGGGTCGATAATGAGATCAAAGGCGAAATGGACCGAATATGGTGAAAAATCAAATAAATACTTTTTTTTCTATATTTGGCATTACGAAATGAACTGGTTATGTCCATTATATCTACTTTTAAAAGAATTTTCGGTAAGCCCAACATGTCTTAACATTATTGTTGTCATCCCTTGTGATAGTAGCCTGGTACACTACACCACTGGTTAGGCATTTACCAGATAAGGGGGGCATTCATTACGGCAATTGCATTGATTTGTATCCAATTGTGCATCATTACTTAATACCTATTTGTTGTGAGCAGATATTATAGAGCCAATGTTTGGCATGCAACTGTAACTTATTTTAATAGTGTTCCTATTAAATAATTTTCTAAGAATATGGTCGGGTTGGAAGCACTTGGGTTTATATTTTATATTTTGAATGGGTTATATTTCAGTTCATAGTTAAATCCGCTTTCAAAGAGAGCTTCCTGGTATGGTTTCTTGGTTTCGTCGAATGCTGCTTTGCTGGAAGAAATATTGGACGGCCTTTTGTTTATGCCTTCTGGTATGTTTTTTACTATTGATGGTGGATGATTGCTCTTGCAGTTGACATAGCGCGGCTTGTTATTCTCTTTTATGTAGGGTTTGTAGCTTCCGTCATTGAGATTA